GAATATTCTTGTGGGGGTAACTATCTCTTTCTCTGTCTACTATAGAAGAAAAAAAAATAACCTAAAAAAAAAAATAGAGACTAGGATCCAGCACACCGACATCAAATCACATTAATAGTAACCAGACGCAGCAGTTGGCGTAATGGCTGTGTCGCTGGACTCCCATTTAGTGGACCACGGTTGAAATCCCGGACCTGGTGGCTTAAATTGACGCTGGGTGTGTGTGCGTGTGTGCCCAAGATCCCTAGAGAAGAATGGAGAAGGGATTGTGGTGTGGCTATCCCCCATGGGTGGGGGTGTGTGATTTCTTGCTTTCTATCTCTCTGTCTCTGTCTTTCTGGTGAGTGCACATGCCCTATAGCAAAAACCTCTCTCTCTCTCAAAAAAAAAAGTAACTAGACATGAATCAGATTGGTCATGAAAAGCCAGAAATGCTGAAGAGCAAAGTAAGATTTTCAAATTAATGTCAAGAGTATTGAGAAGAGAAACATACTTCAGTCTTACAGGCGAGAGCAGGAGTTTCCTGGAGGGAAGAAAGTGCCTCCTTTGCTGGTGGCCACTCCCTGTGACCTTGATGTCCACTGAAGCCTGGGAACCCAGGTAGAATGCTGTCCTGGTCACTGTAGTGGGTGTGCATGTTTACGAAGTATCAGGTGTCTTCCCCATGATTTCATCAAATTGGATTCTCAAAGTCCAGTATACCAGAAAGTGGCCTCAGTGTCGTTAATATTTCTGGTACTTTGCAAATTTCACTGGCATCTGATAAGGACTATGTTATGTTCTGTGAACTAATACTAAAATGAATCCTCTCACTGATTATCTTATGGGGATGAAATATCTGGCAATATAAGCTTAATCTAAGAGGCAGCTCATTTTATGACACAGTTTTGTTTTTGAAAAGTTTGTATAAGTTAAATTTTCTGTCAATGAAATTTGTTTAGGAATACTGATATTTAAAGGAGCTATACAGAATAAGTATAGAACCACTCAGCAGATATATAAAACTATATGGAAACTCTTGCCTTGATTATGCAGCACATACAATACAGATTCCCACTCACCCTTTATTAATCTCTATCATCTATATATCTATCATCAGTCATCTATCTCAGGAGTTTCATGAAATAGAATTTATTAGAATTTCTGTTTCATAGGGCACTCACTACTCAAGCTCTTTAAACAGCAAATACACCTGTGTATTAAGCTGCACATTTTATGCATGCCCAGAATATTCTGACATTGCCAAAGATAACATAAAACATACTATATCACTGTAGTTAAGGATGACACTTCAAAGAATTTTTAAGATAAACCACTTTTACAAGAAAACTTGGAAATGCTCTGCAATATTACAACTCATGTACAGAAGAAACTTGGTAGTTTTCTAATATTTGATAATGATTTTTAAAATGTACATGCTGGGTCCAGCAGATAGCATGGCAGTTGGGACACTGAACTCCCACATGGTCAACTGCAGTTCTAGTCCTGGACTTGTGGCTTGAAACTCACACTGGGTGCATGTATGCTTGTGCCCAAAATCTCAGGAGGAGAGTAGAGGAGAAGGGATTGCTGCATGGTCATCTCCCCTGGGTAGGGCAATTTCTCACTCACTCTCTCATTGTCTCTTTCTGTCTCTATGGCAAATGCATACACACTATGGCAAAAACCTAAAAAGAAATTGCCATATTATTGCCAACAATGATTTATAAAACTTAAATGGAAATTTCCAAACTATCAATAGTATAAAGATATTTTAATTGACCATGTTAGAAGAAAGCTGAATTATTATTTTTTTATAGAAATGATCAAAAATATTTATTTGAAGAGGTAACAAAGAATATACAGTGCAGAAAATGTATTTGTTTGCCCATATCATGGTAAAGTGCCTGAGTAGTGAGCGTTCAGTATATATTTACAAACATATCATGGTAAAGTTCCTGGGTAGTGAGCGTTCGGTATATATTTACAAAGGGAAGTTAAAATTGACAATTAAACTAGAGCTGACATAGATCAGTCCTCTTGCCTCTATCTAGCATGAAGAGGGGAGGCTATTTTTTGTGAGGTGCTTTCCTCCTCTGAAGGGTAGATCAAACAGAGACACAGAGAGTTGAAAAGAGATGCAAGGCACTGATGACATGTTGTTTATTGACTGAGAACAGAGCACTTGCAGAGCTCTATTAGCACTCACAGTGTGCTTCCTCCCTCTTGGGACTTAAGGCACATGAAGAGCCCCTTGAGAGCTGTCCCTCCGTCTTAGAGCTCACAGCACAGAGCTGAGCTGAGCTGAGGCTAAGCTAAGCGGAACCAAGGCCACCAGGGTTGAGGAGGGTTGAGCCAAAACCAAGCAGAGCAGGGCTAGCTAGCTGGGCAGGGCTAGCTGAACCTGGTGCTTGTTTTTCTCTTTAAGGAGCTGCAGACAATAGTGGCTCATTGTCAACACCAGACTGTTGCATACACATGTGCATTACATTTAATGGTGCAAAACATCAAAGTCATAATTACATAACAAGTGTGCAACACAGTACAACTAATAAGTTATTTAACCAGTGAACTTGAAACATGGTAAGATACGAAGTGAGGGAACCAGACTAAACCATCCTGATTCCATTTTCTCTACAGAGGCAGAAGCCACCTACAGTGCAGTGATTCTGTGGGCCCCAGCAGGTGAATCAGTGGGGTGTTGGTTTACTTTATAATGTCTAAGTAGCATGGAAATTTAAAAGCCAGATTATGGTGATGACAGCTGACAGATTGGGTGCATTTGACAAGTAGTGTCCTAAAGTAAGAGTTCAGAGCTATTCTTAAAAGGCCATATTCACATAGAATAGTGGGTCTTCTCACATTTTTCATACATTTTATGAAGATTTGGTATAATCTTTTGTTTAAAAGAACCGAAGAACACTCAGAATCAAATTAAAATAATAGGACTATTTCCAATATTATCACTTTGAACACAACAGTTAGATTACAACCGTATTTGCTGGTCTCTAAAAATTAATTTTCTCTTATAATCAAATTCATTTTAATTCTGCTTGATTAACATGTAGAAAATTCTGCCTCATTAGAAATTTACATTTGTTAGGATGGATAGAATGGGCTTCCTAGTACAGAGATGAATCCATCAATATTCCATCTTTATAAATAATGATTGCATAATTTGCAATAATTTTATGTTTTTTTTTTTTTTTTTTTTTTTGGTGAGAGTGCGTGCACTCACCAGAAAGACACAGAGAGACAGAAAGCAAGAAATCACCCTCCCGGGGAGGATGGCCATGCCACAATCACTTCTCTTCCATTCTCTTCTTGGGATCTTGGGTACACATGCACATGTACCTGGTGTGAGTTTAAGTCACCAGGTCCAGGATTCGAACCACGATTGACTATGTGGGATTCTCGTGACATAGCCATTACACCAACTGCTGGCCTCAATTTTAAGATATTTTGAAGGGAGGTAAAATAATCAATTTTTTTAAGGTTGTATTTTGTGCTTTGTAGTCATAGGCTGTGTTATTACACTGAAGAAAACACCTTGGAAGTTTTAGAAATGTATTTATTTTAGGCTCAGCCATTCCACCACTTTGGAGGCTAGAAGACACACCCAGGCTTGGGTTTGGTTTCTAGGACAAACTGAACATTCTGTGTGTGGTTGTAGACACTTGTAATCCTGGCTAACTGGGAGGCTGGGACAGCAGGATGATGACAGGGTTAGACCCTGTCAAAAACACCTATCTCCATCTCTCTCCTTTCCTTCTCCCTCTTCCTCTCTTTCTTCTCTCTCTCAAAAGAAGTTATTTATTTTGTATTTACTTTGTGTCTATATTTATATATTTATGTATGTACTTTTTCTGTTTAAATATATATTTTATTTTTTTCTTTCAGTTTATGTTACACACTCACACACACACACACACACACACACACACACATTTAAATTTTGCCAGAGGTATGTACTTGCCTGAGAGAAACAGAGACAGAAAAAGGGAAGGTAAGAAAGCATCCCCTATGGAGGATGGCCATGCCACAATCCCTTCTTCTCTATATCTCTGTACTTCAGGGATTTGGAGCATACACACACATGCCCAGCATGTTTTTGAAGTCGCTGTGTCCCAGGCTTGAACCACATTGTCAGCCACATGAGATCCAGCCACCGTAACCACTGTGCCATGGGCTGGCCTTATTTACTTATATTTTTATTACCTAGTTGTCCTTATAGATCTGAGAATTTTCTGGGAAAAAGCAATGAAAGAAATGGATATAATTTATCTTTCTGTCATCTCTGCCCATTTCTTTGAAGGAAGTCAAGAACTGTCATATTTTTCCTTGTGCACTTATTTGACCTCAAGATGTTGAGTCAGACTACTTTTAGTGTTAGCCTACATGCGAAAAGTTCTCATTAGCAGTTTATCTTCCTCTGCCCAGTTCTCTACATTTGGAGGATGACCATAAAAACTGTAACCCATGGTTTCCTGTGTGATATTGGCCTCGTTCCCAAATCTTTTGAAATCTGATGAAATAGGTGGAGGAGAGAGGCAAGAGTACTGTCTTGCTTCCTCCCTGCTGTGGGCTGGACTATCAGAAACTAGTTATATATTTGCATATCAACAGGTCCTATTGGGTAGCCTTTCCTCCATTGCCCATATCTTTGTTTGCTCTCTTTGCTGCATGAAGACTAAGTTCCACTGTGGTTAGACCCTGAATACCTCAATATACGTTATACATTTTTTTTAGTCTTGCCTTTTCTATTTAAGTAGACCTTTTTAATATTATTATTAATATTATTTTTCATAATGGTCTCTGTTGCCTTCTGGGAACCTAACTTATTAGCTGTTGGTAGGTGATAAGATACAGGCTAGAGTAGAGTGGTAGTCAACAGGACAGCAACAGATGCATTTTATTGCTCAGATACTTTACTTGTTTGATGGGTTGGTTCCATCAAGATCATTAAAGTTTATTTCTCTTAAGAGCTCAGAGTAGGTTGGAAAACATAATTTCTCACATCTTCAGCCAAAAAAGGAAATTAACTTATTCCAAAAACTTTTAAAAGTTGTTTTGCTTGATGTAGTTTGATTGGAGGTTGTAACTTGAATAGTGGTACTAAGTTCTAGGGTGGGGGGCAGGCTAGTAATAATTTGAGTGGTATCTTCAGTAGATGCTGTGGTGGTGGTGGTGGCTGTTGATGTAGGGATGGTAGACTCTGTTGTTGAAGAGAAAGGTACTGTTGAGGCAGTGGTTTTTGTGTTGGTGATGATTGGGTCTCTGGAAATGCTAATGGTTGCTGGTGTAGGTTCTATAGAAGTGCTGGTGGTGGTTGTGGTGGTGGGCTCTGTGGAAGTGAGAGTCATTGTGGGTTTTATGAAATTGATGGTGGCTGCCGTAGTGGTGGTGGGTGTTTTCATTTGTGATTTGGTGTCGAAGAAGAGAAAGTAAATAGAATATTCAGGATTAGGCGAACGTATGTGTGCTGGCACCTTAATTAGTCCTGGAGGGTAAGGTCTTGCTTGATAAAGTGGGAAGGGTTGGAGTTTTCTAAATCTTGATAGAAAACTTTGGGATGAAATGAGTACTGGGTCAAAGTGAGGGGGAGAAGGTGGAAGTGGGATAAATCCTGGTCCAAAAAGAGGACGGAAGCCTGGTGGAACCCATCTTGGCCTGTGAAGTAGAAGTGATGGTGGCTGCTGGTCTGGTAGATATGGTCTGATGGGGGCTCTTTGATTCTCACTGGGCTAGAGAGATTAAAAAAAAAAAAAGAAAAATAAATGAGATTTGTTAAATTTTACTATTTAAAGTTCAAACATTAGACATGTACTTTTAAAATTTATACAGTCATAGTTTACTGAGAAAATAAATGAGAATAAAGAAGAAACAGAATTTCCCTTCCCTTTTCAAAACCTAGTCACTTTAAGAAAGCTAAGATAGTATAAAATGAGAAAAAAATGACAACCTTGCTATTTGACTTATAAGTTATAGAGGGGGCCAAATTACTGTGATAGCATATAAAAGAGATTACCTTAAAATGGAGGTAAATCCATTGGGACAACCTGGGAAAGTTATTTCTTACTCTATTCCAAAAATTCAGTGAGATTGTAGGCTCCAAACCATTAATTAATTGTGTATCGATTTGTTAAGAAACCATTATATGCAACATATCTTTCTAGGACATTAAGACATGAACTCTTCCTTACCTGATTCTAAACCTGGTTCAATAAATTGTTCCCCCAAACTGCAATACAAGGTAGTACAATAAAATGCCTATGGGAGTTAATGCAGTATGCTGGTTAAGATGAAGACACTGGCATCTGATTCCCAGAGCCAGTGCACATTGAAGACTGTTAAATTCGGGCTGGGTCAGCTGCTTACACTCTCTCCCTTTGTTTTCTCATTTCCAAATTGGTTCTAGAAATAGTTGTTTTTTTCAGTGGTTGATGGAATTATATACAATCTATGTAAAGTACTTAGACATGGTGAACTGTAGTAAGGACTCAATGTACATTTCAACTATTTTGTATTCTATGATTAAGATGCATGGTGGCCAGCAGAGGGCATGGTGGGTAAGGTGTTGGGTTCTCTCATGGCCAACCATGATTTTAACCCCGGACCTCGTGGCTTGACTCACACTGGGTGTGTGTATGTGTGTGCCCAAAATCCCAAGAGGAGAATGGAGATGAAGGCATTGCATCATGGCCATCCCTGCTGGGGAGTGGATGGGAGTGATTTCTCTCCATGTCTCTCTTTGTCTTTCTGTGATGAGCACACACACCCTATGGCAAAAACTTAAATAAATAAAACCTTAAAATAAAAAAGCAGCATGGTGGCTTGTAGATGGTATCAGATCAAGAAATAATTGAGAAATGGTGTAAAAAAATCTAGATGTGGGACCAGAAGTTAGCATAATGGTTATGTCGCTGGACTCCCATGTAGTCGACCGCGGTTCGTGTCCTGGACCCGGTGACTTAAAACTCATGGCAGGCGTGTGTGTGTGCCCAAGATCCCGAGAGGAGAATGGAGGAGAAGGGATTGCGGTGTGGCCATCCCCCCTGGGGGGTGATTTCTCGCTTTCTATCTCTCTGTCTTTCTCTGTCTGTCTGGCAAGCACACGCACCCTAAAGCAAAAACCTCTCCAGAAAAAAAAAATCTAGATGTGATATCAACTTAGAGGGAAAGTTTGTTTTGAAAAAAAAAGAGAGGATTGAAGATTGCCTAGTAGAAAAGATGGGATTTAAAATAAGACTAAGTAATGGAGTCAAATTGGGGAAAAAAGGCCAAATTAAAAGAATGTCATAAGCAAATAAACAGGATCAGGAAAGTATGAGTCCTAATTTAGGGACAAGTACCGGATTAGGTGGCCTGGCATAGGCAAAGCTCATAGGAGAGAGTACAAGATTTAGAAAGGTACAAGACTTTAGTCACTCTCTTGAAACATTTAACTCCTTGCTTCTATGTCTTTGTGCTATACTATCCTTGGAAACATCAAATTTTAGATGAACTCTAAACAAACTACATTCTCTATTTCTGCTTCCAGGATGATAAAATTTCTGTGTAGAAGGCCACAGTTCCTAAGGACTGGAGATTCATAGTGTCTATCATCATTTGGGGCCTCAGCACTAAAAAACTCTTTTCCTCAAAGGGCAGTCTTCTCAACATCTACACCTCACATCTACTTTTCTTCCTCTTCCTGCCTGATAGGAGTTATAGATATAGGATACAGGTAAAGAGGCTGATCTTAAACAAGAATTGGAAACAGCTAGATAACAACTAGATATTTTCCTTTCACAAAATTGAATATATTACTCATGAGAGTTTCTGAACTTTTCTACCTATACACCTGTAAAACTTACTGATATCTACATGTTTACTCTGTTTAAGACCAGCTTCTTCTGTTGTATTCTTATCTGTATCTTCTCCCAAATGATCATTCAAATATTCTAAGTCATTTCAGAGGGAGCTAAGACCATGTTTTTTGTCACATGACTGATTTAAATATGACCACATTTATTTGAGTTATTTCTGACAATTGATCCAGGACCTTTGAAAACACTTTCTATTTAGGATCTTAGGACACGTGGCCAGATGAAGAAAAATAAGTCAAATTTATAAAGTGTGTTTTTTTTTTTTTTCTTTGTAAGTTGAACTAGGAAATACTGAGCTATCTTAGTTAGAAGTTTGAACTAAAATATGAATATTGTGAAAAAGACCCAGACAAAGGCTGAGACATTAATAAAGGTCACAAGCAAAATAAATTCTGGGGACACAGAAATTATGAACAACAAGAGCACATTTCTGCAGAGAGGGAAGAGTCCAGAGAAAAGCATAGATGCCATGAGAAGGAGAGGCTGGTTTTCAGGGCTACCTTGGTTTGCAGTGCCAGAAAATGTAACCTTGTTCATTTACATTTTTTTCTTTTTTTTTTTCTTTTATTTTTTATACATTAATTCACTATACATCATTACACCATACAAAATGGATTTTCCATCCAAAATACACTGTATATTGGCTCAATCAAGCACATCAACATACGTGTTATCAATGAATAATTTTCCATTTCTTATGTCTTGTGTGTATATATATA